GCGGCGGGGCCCGGGGCTGCCGGGGGCTCCCCCCAGCGTGGCTCTGCCCGCCATGGAGCGTCTGGCACTGGGCTTGGTGCTGCTGGCCGGGACCCTGGCCGCCGGCAGCCCCCTGCACCGGCGAGACCTCCACACCTTCACGGGCATGGTGCTGGACATGGCCCCCACCTCCTTCGACGACCAGTACCGGGGCTGCAGCCGCCTGATGGAGGAGGAGCTGGAGGAGCTCAACCGCACCGAGTTCGCCGACAACAGCATCTACGTCCAGGCTTGGACCAGCGCTGCCAGGGCATGGTGGAGCCACCAGGGCCGTGCCTCCCCGTCGCCGGCGCTGCGGCCGGAGCTGGCGATCGCCCTCCGAGCGTACACCCTGGAGGAACGCCTCTACAAGACGTTCAACACCCGTGCGCAAGGCCGGGAGCTCCCGCGAGGAATACCTGGACACCTTCGACTTCAAGGTGCTGCATTTCCTCCTGAGCGAGGCCCTGCGCACCCTGCGGGACGCCCAGCCCCGCCGCTGCCACCGCGTCTACCGGGGCGTCGAGGGCATCCGCTTCACCGCCCAGCGCGGCCAGACCGTCCGCTTCGGCCAGTTCGCCTCCACCTCTGTCCAGGAGAAGTGCGCCCTGTCCTTCGGCCGGGACACCGTCTTCTCGGTGGAGACCTGCTACGGCGTCCCCATCAGTGACTTCTCCGCCTACCCCGCTGAGGAGGAGGTCCTCATCCCGCCCTTCGAGAGCTTCGAGGTCACCAACGTCACCCGCAGTGGGGACGGCGCCTTCATCCAGCTCCGCTCCCGGGACGCGCACAGCACCTACAACTGCGAGTTTGTGAAAGGTGACGTCCCCGCGGGACGGGGGGCGGCTGGGAAAGGGGGGCTCCATCGTGGGGAGGGCGATGGGGGGAACTCGCCTTCGGGCACGCGTCCTTGCACGCCTCCCCGCTGCTCTGCCCCGGGGTTGGTAACGGGGGCCCCTGGCACAGCACGGCATGGCATGGCAGGACATGGCAGGACATGGCAGGACATGGCATGGCATGTTATTCCAGCACAGCATGGCACGACACAGCATGGCATAACATGGCATGGCACAGCACGGCACAGCACTGCACAGCATGGCATGTCAGGACATGGCACGGCACAGCAAAGCATGGCATGGCACAGCACGGCATAGCATGGCACGGCACGGCATGACACAGAACGGCATGGCATTGCATGGCACTACACAGCATGGCATGGCAGGACATGGCACTACACAGCATGGCATGGCAGCAAAGCATAGCGTGGCATGGCATAGCACAGCACGGCATGGCAGGGCATGGCACAGCGTAACATGGCACAGCATGGCACAGCACGGCATGGCACAGCATGGCAGAGCACAGCACAGAACAGCATGGCACTGCATGGCATGGCAGAGCATGGCATGGCAGGGCAGGACATGGCACTACACAGCATGGCATGGCAGCAAAGCATAGCGTGGCATGGCATAGCACAGCACGGCATGGCAGGGCATGGCACAGCATGGCAGAGCACAGCACAGAACAGCATGGCACTGCACGGCATGGCAGAGCATGGCATGGCAGGGCAGGACATGGCAGGGCACAGCATGGCATGGCAGCAAAGCATGGCTTGGCGTGGCATGGCAGGGCACAGAACAGCATGGCATGGCACAGAATGGCACAGCGTAACATGGCACAGAACGGCACAGCAAAGCATGGCATGGCAGGGCATGGGACGGC